ATTTGTTGAATGTAAAACTGATGATCTGCCCTATAAACTTTTACTCAAATAACAATAAAAACTTAATTAAAAAAAACCAACAACTGTATATTTATGTTCATTTCAGCACTATTCACAATAACCCAAAAGTAGAAACAACCTAAATGTCCATCAACAAACAAATGAATAAATAAAATGTGGTGTACACGTACAATGAGAAAATCACTTAGTCATACAGAGAAACAAAGCCATAATACATGGCACAATACAGATGAGCCTTGGAATAACTATACTGAGTGAAATAAGTCTGTCAGAAAAAGACAAACACCACATACTTCACAGACCTGAAATATGCAAATATAACCAAAGCTTTCAGAGGGCAGAGGACAGGGGGTGTTGACCTTCAGCTGCTGCTAATGAAGGTGAAATCACCTGGAAAAGGCTAGTGGCAATGGTTGCACAGGAGTCCTGGTACAGGATAAGCACGGAACTGCTAACCACAAGGTCAGTGGTTGCTGAGTCAGAAACTACTCGACAGCACTTAACAGTAGCAGCAATGGAGGCATAACATTAAGAATGTAATCAGTCACTGGAGTACATACATAAAAATTGTGGAACTGGCAAATACTTTTTGCATATTTTGACCACAATTTAAAAGGAAATTAAAATTAAATTGTTTATTAAAATTTTATTTAAATTAATATTTTTGCATAAGGAAAATTAAAAAAAAAAATTGCTTAGCATACACAGAATATGAATTTAACATTGTTGTTGTTAAGTGCCATCGAGTTGATTCTGACCCACAGCGAACCAGCTGTCCAGGATTCCCAAGGAGCAGCTGGTGGGTTGGAACTGCCTACCTTGTGATTCACAGTCCAGTGCTGATCCTACAATGCCATACCATTATAAAAGTATAATTAGTGTACTCAAATGATGAAAGACATATTGTCAATATTTTTACACATCACATATAACAGATCTATTAAAGTCACTCTGCAGAAGAAAGTTGAGGCTTTCTGTCTCTGCCAAGACCTTTTTTTTTTTTAAAGGCCTCAAAAATCCTACACAGGGTCACTATGAGTTGGAACCAACTTGACAGCACTTAACAACAACAATATCATAGAAGCTGACAATTAAATATGGTAATTTTCATTAGTCTGCCAAATAAACAAGCACTGAAATAAAATGTGAAATTAATATGACTTTCATCTCATGAATATCAAGGTTTTAATTCTGTGTTTCAAATACTGACACTGGAAACAAGTATACGTAATACAGCAAAGATATATTTTAAAAACTGAGCTAATGAGAAAACAAATGGTAGTTTTTATTGTCAAGAACCTGATAAACCTTGAGTTTACATTACTATCCCATATTTGTTTAGCTACCATAGCATGTAAAATTCAGCTGTTTGGTAACCTTTGGAAATTGTAAGTCTGTTTTCAAAGGAAAAACTCTGCTCTGAGAATTTTTTTTTTTATGTTTTATTGTGAATTATGTGATAATTTATATGGGAGAACATTAGCTTTACATTCATTCTATCATATATCCTTACATTGCCTTGGTTACAATCCCCTCCATGCATCATCAACCAACCAATGGTACACCCTGCAAGCCTGCACACAGCCCCTCTCCCTCTCTGGGTCTAGAGTTCCCAGCCACTCCATCTCTCCACATCATCGTCTCTGCCTCCATCTCTGGCCATCACTGTGTCTCTGGGTAGGGTCCCGCACTCCACTCTTCTCCCCTGATGGTCCCAGGGACCTCCACTAGTGGACTGCAAAGTCAACCACTCCCATCCTTTTGCTACAAAATGTCTACCTTTACATTTCCAACCCTCACAGTCAGTCCTGATAGTAATTATTCATTATTCCCCATCTCCTTTCATCAGTTCTGCCTAGACAGATTGGATACTACTCAGTGGAGATTCTACCTTCCTCCGTGCCCTCTGGATCTAGGCTCCCTCTTGAAAGCTTGTAAGTCAGTCACTTCTTGCCTTTGTAGCACGCCCCTCCCCCCATTTTGCGTAGCCAATGTCCAAGTTGCCCATCCCTGTCTATTCTGTGTACGGAGGGGGTGGGAATGATCCTCGCTGTAAAGATTTGTTCCCTCTTTTGAGCTACTGCATCCATAGGTATAGGTCAAGTTCATCAAATTGTATCAGATTACTCGTTTTTTCCTCTTCTTTCTTCTTCAAGTTGAGCTCTGATCATCCAGCCATTGAAGCCAGGTCAAGTGGGTATTAACTGTAAGTGTGGGTGTTCTTGTGCATATGCCCTCTCTTCTTATCAGCTGGATGCTTCATTCTCCATTCTAGTCCTGTGTGGTTACGTCACTGACTCTGGGCCCAGGAGTCCCCAGGTCTTGCCAAACTGCTGGCCAACCAGGTCTCCACCCAGGTTCACAGGAATGTATTGAACATGGTAGGGCTTTACCTGCAGCTTCATTGCTGTTTTTCCCTCACTTCCTCTTATCGGTGACCAACGTGGTCACCAGTCAGTCAGAGCATGAGTCTGCTTGTGTATTTCCATTAATTCTCAGTCTTGGAAAGGGATTTGCCCTGACAGGATCCGACCACTTGCCTTGATGTCTCCTGGATGAGCAACTTGCTTGTTCTTGTAGTAGTCGGTTGGACTGCCACTGTTTTGTATTTTTCTTGTTGGTCTTTCTTTCAAGATGTATCTTCTGATATTCTAGCCACTCCAGGCTGGTCTGCTCATCCGTTCAAGTGGAAATTTCCCACCTCTGAAGATTCTGGATGTGGTTCAGGATTCCACCCATGGTCTTATGTAATGCAGAGGCTCCACAGGAAGCCTCCTTCACTGCGCATGATGTAGCACCATTTTAGGTATTCCAATCAGTTTTAGGCAGAAGACGGACTTACAAGCTTCCTATGGTGATATTTCTAGCTATTCCTTTCTCTCCCCCTCAAGTGTCTATTTTATAATGGTATGCCAGGGAAATCAAGATTCAAAAGACAGCCAAGCACCTTAACATTATTTCCCTCCTTCTGCCCATTCCAACTATGTCTCGATCCCTGTATCCCAGAGCCCTGTTGTTCTAAGGTTGTATCTGAGAATATTCTTGAAAGTAACATTTTTTTTTCTAATTACAATGTCTAATTTTAAAAAATAACAACAATCCATAATAGACTTAATTATCAATGTTAAGCTAAATAGATTGTAGCTACATTCTTACAAAAGAAAAAGAAAAAAATTATTGACAAATTATACACTACAACACTGATCATATTACTAAAGATGTATCAAACCAAAAACAGTTGCAAGTTTGCTTCACTGTAATTTAAATACATTGTAAATTGAGGGCTACTTGCATCTTGTTTTTTTTCCACTTAGTCTTCTGATTATTTTACCAGAGCTACATCCATGCAATAAAAGATAAGGTTCTACTGTACTTGAAATATGTATACAACTATTCATAATTTCATACCAAGCACCAAGTGTATTAATGAAAGATATCACAAAGGGTTAAAGAATGAATTAACAATCATAAAAATAATGTGATTATGCTTAGCAGTGCATTGAAGTGGTACAGTTCATTCAAAATTGGGCACAAATCAGCTCTAGAATATTCTCAGCTGGCCTGTTAATAGTGTGGTTAAGTGTTAAAGAAAGCTGTACCTTTAACTGCAAGTTACCACTTTACATCGTACCTTGTTTTCGTAACATAGATAGAATCAGTTGAGTTCCTCGAGGGCTGGAGATATGAAAAGGCTATAGGTTTGGGAACAGGGCTGATGCAGAGTGCATCCAGTAGAGAATGATACCTTTCAGGATTGAAGAGCCTGGTAAGCAGTTAGAAAGAGTTTTAAGTTGAAATATCACATCACCAATAGCAAAAGGTAGCAGTTTTAATGGATGAGACAGAACGAAGCAATAGAAAGAGATGCAACAAAGAGCTAAAAGTCATTTACCCTGTTCTACCAATGAATATAGAATGGATTTAATTTTCACTAAAATTGGTTAAGGCAATTGTTTGTTGTTGTTGTGCTGTGTGCTGTCCAGTTAGATTGGACTCATAGCAACCCCTGTATGGGGGTTCCAAGGAGGAATGATGAGTTTGAACCACCAAGGCAATTGTTCAGTAAATATTTAAAGCAGAAAACCCCTAAATCAAACCCACAACATTCAAATCCATTCTGATTAACAGAGGGTTTTTGAAGCTGTAAATCTTTGCGGCTGAAATCAGCCTCATCGTTCTCCTAAAGAGTGGCTGGTGAGTTAGAACAGTCAGCACACACCGTGGCATCAGAGTTCCTTTAAAGCTGTAAATGCCTCTAGAAATAATGTAACATTACAACAAAAATAAATACAAAAATGAACAAATAGTCACTTGTTTTTTGGAGGGAAGGTGTTTTCTAGAGAATAGTTCAGCTTTGTATAACCTTCAATGATAATCAGGATGTGGAAGAAAAGGAATCCAACAGAAATGTAAAATACCTATTTTCTGATATTTGATCCTATACCAGGTATAAAGGAGGAAAAGTGTAAAAACCAAAAGGTCAGAAGACACACAATATGCAATAATTCATGTAACTGAAAAGTAACACAGATAAATGGTATCAATGAAAGGAGATCAATGTTCATTTAAAGAAAACTCAGTAAAAAACATAAAGTAGTAGGAGTCATTCACAACCACAGGATAAGCATGGACTGCGAGCCACAGGTCGACAGTTCAAGTTCACGAGTTGCACTGCAAGAGAAAGACGGAGCTCTCTGCTCCTGCAAACATGTACGAGTGTCAGAACATTATAAAGGGTCGCTCTGAGTCGGAACCAACTCAATGACACCTAACAACAATAATTCACAACCTAGATAATTATTCATTATACAATTAAGAGGAATCCCTGAGTTGCAAAAGGGTTAAGGGCTCAACTAGGATAAAGACTGGCAGTGTCTCAGCAAGACAAGCCTGACAGTCTGCTTCTGAAAGGTCCCCAGAACCCTTCTTAATGACCCTATGCACGCTGATGTTACCATGAGTTGGAACTGACTCAATGTCCACTATCAAAAAGAACTAATAGTATGAAGGGGCTCCAAAAAGTTCATGGAAAGAATCCATAGTCTTTTAACTCTGTTTTTCATCCAATTTTTTGAAGTCCCCTTGTACAGCCGTGAATTTTATCACATGAGCATGTTCCCTTTGAGGTGACCTGTAAGGACAGTGGACAGTGTTGGAATCACATTCAGACAGACACTGCACACAGAGTTCTACCTGGTTTTTGCAGCAAGAACAGCAGATACAGTAGCGGCTGCATTGCTCAGAACTGCAGCACTATATCTACCAGGAGAAGAGAGGGCAGAAAAGTTTCCAAGACCTTCCAAAGAACTTCTCACCACACTTCTTGTACAGCTGCTTAAATTAATATGTAGGGAAAGAAAAAACAGAGAAGAGGAACAAAAAGGAAAGTGAGAAAAGGAAGCTTAATAAAGATGGCACTATCCTATGTGAACACTTAAACACCATAAAGATGCGAAATGTCAGAGGTAACAGGAACACAGGTCATTATTTACTGTTGTTATCATTTGTCTCAGAAATTGAAGCGTGATGTATAATCCTCCAGAAAACATACTTTTTGAGATACAAATATTTCTCAATGCATTTAAATTCATTGTCGTTAATCCTATTTAAATCAATGTCGTATAACAATACACATTAAGAGATTGATTTGCCAACATCCAAGTAGAAGATACTTCTACTTGGAAATATGAAGTCTGAATTTCTACAAACAGGGAAAGAAAGTTAACTCAATTTTCCCAAACAGTTTCTATATGAGGGGGCTTCAAAAAGCTTGGGGAAAATTCCATTACCTTTTAATTCCAGTTTTATACAAACTATTTGAAGTCCTCCCACATAGAGAGTTTTACCTTAGAGACGATATACACTGAAATTCTGACTTTTAATGAGACTGTGTTATCAGAAGAGGCAGGTAAAATTAATTGACTATTAAGAATTAGCAACAGGAACAAGAATAACTCTTTTAATATACTATTATTTTGGGAGGACATGCATCTTGGTAAAAATAACCAGTAATTACAGTATGAGTAAAACACCACTTTTTCTCCTGGTGTTCCATATTTATATTTTTGGCTAGTTATGTGACTGATAATCAAATGCTAGGGTAAAATTGACTCTTCCTAACTCTTATTACTTCAAATAATTATTTTTCTTTGATCTTTTAAAAACAGTTAAGGAAAACATCTGGACAAGAATTAATACTTTACCACTTTAGGACTGTTGTTGTTGTTGTTGAGTGCTGTTGAGTAGATTCCGACCCATAATGACCCTGTATAGGGTTTCCAAGGAGCAGCTGGTGAGCTTGAACCACCGACCTTGCAGTTCAAACGACTGTGCAGTCTGACGCATTAGCCAACAGCGCCTCACCAGTACTCCAATGGTAATCAAATTGGAATTGAACGTTTCATTCTTATTAAACAAAAGTAAAAATCTAAATTGTACAATTTGAAACCTAAAGTCTTTCTCTTCTGCATTTATGGGTGCATATTATACTTCAGAAGTTTTTGACAAGTGGCCTCCCCAAACACAAAGTAACTATGTGCCAAACTAACACCAGGAGTGTTGGTGTGGCACTGTGGGATAAAGCACTGGACAGCAAGGTTGTTCGAACCACAAGGTCAGTGATTCAAACTCACCATCCTCTCCTTGGAAACCTTATACAAGATTGTTATGAGTCGGAACCAACTCAATGGCACTTAACAACAACAACTTAGGCCCAGGTAAGGAGAGCTCAGATGGGCATTGATCTGAGCATTTTTTCCCTCTCAGAAGAATTTGATAATCCTTTATTCTTAGTTCATAAGATATAATTTTACAGCCAATTAGAAGGCAAATCAAAGAAATAGTAGGATGCCATTTAAAAAAATTACACAGAACTGTTTAAGTTCTATTTTCTACAAGACCACCCATGAAACTGAACTGCATGGGTATACAAGGGTGCTTCCAAAAGTTTGTGGAAAAACAGTATGAAAGATAATGGAAATTTCCCATGAACTTTTTGAAGCCCCCTTGTATTTCTAACAAGAAGGTGAATGGTTAGAAAAGAAAGAAAGGAAGCTGGAAAGAGAAAAGAAAGATGCTAGCAAAGCAGGCTAATATGAGTGTATTGTGATGTGAAAAGTTGTTACCAAGTGATGCAACTTTTACTTTCTGAATTATTCAGTATCTTTGAAAAAAGCAACAGCTGTGATTTGGCAGAAGTAATGGTTAATAACAGTAACTAGAAACTCAGTTTATTGTAAAAATCAGATAATTCATCCTTCTCCAATAAAAAGGAAACTATACTGAATTTTCCCACCATGCTGTATCATAGATATTATGATATTAATATTAATGGATTTAGTCAAACAAATCTTGTAATAGTCATATACCCGAATACTCTTAAAATATGCCTAGGCATCTGGTAACGTATGAGGTCTTTATTTTAGAAGTCAATGCTGTAATTCAGACAAACTCAGAAAGTTGACTTTTCAAATCGCAAAGTGAATAAATAGATTTCCTGATTCTACACCAAAAACTAAACAATAATAAATATAAAAGCAATGTGAAGTGGTGTTCCAAGCTGATTGGCAAGCTTTCTTTTCTATATATTAATGATGTGTGAGTCCTATGATCATTTATTTTTGGTTTTTTAGCCAGATAGTTTTAGTACTTAAATTCACACCAGCATTACAATTTTGATGTACAAGAAGGAAAAACTCTACCTAGAATAAGTAGTTGCTATTTTTGAAAGTGTGGCTACTTGTCTACTAATATTTAAAACCTGAGAAGTAGCAGGTGGGTATGGTCCACTCTTATGTAGGTCTTCCACAGAACTGTCAAACCTAAATTTTTAGAAGCAAAACAAACAAGGTGAAGGAAACATTAATGGAAGTGCAGACATTGATTACCTGTATCATCTTTTAAATGTGCATTGTTTAATTTCATGCACATTGTAATATTTTTTGTTTGTTGTTGTTTTTTTTACTGTTGTTGTTCTTGTTTTTCTTTTTTTATTATATATCTACAAAAGGCTAAATAAAGCCAAAACAAACAAGCGACCACCCGAAAAATCAGGCTATTTCCCCACAAATCCTTTACCAGTACATCCATGAAATAAAAAACATTATGCTTAAAGAGAAAGAAGGCATTCCCACTTACTAACTATGCATTTTATATTAAATGTTTCAAGGAAATTTAGGCTTAAAGAAGTCAATTAAGTTGCCTAATATCATATACCAAAATAAGGGTCTACTGGGATTTGAATATGAGTTTGTCTATAATATTTCCTCCACATAATCCTTTCTGGTATCTTGTGGGGCAGCTTCCTGAATAGTGTACTATAAAAGAAGCAAGTAGAGATTTCCATACAAATCAGAAGGATGTTTGGTAGATCTGAAATTATATTGGTAACTGTTCATCTTGATGTAAACCAAGTATTTGATCCAGTCCTGTAACAGATGTGTGCATTTACTTACAGTGCTTTCAGTATTTTTAACTTTGTTTTTCCTATGTTTGTAGCATTTTTGTAATGTTAGAATTAGATTTTAGAAGTATTCAGAGGTTCTCAAAAAGGGGGGAGGGGGAGTCTGTGTGGCAAATGTATAGAGAACAAAGTTTAGTAGTGGCTATACCTGGAGCTCTGGTAGCGTTCGCAGCCCGATTCGTAACCACTACGCTAAGGAGCTCTGGTAGCGTAGTGGTTACGAATCGGGCTGCGAGCCTTAAGGTCAGCGGTTCGAAACTACCAGCCGCTCCGCGGGAGAAAGATGAGGCTTTCTACTCCCGTAAAGATTTACACCCTTAGAAACCCTGTACAGGGTCGCTATGGGTCGGAACCGACTCGACGGCACTTAACAACAACAACAACATACCAGGAGTGGCAGGGAGGGGAAAAGGGGAGCCACTGCTGAGAGGACACTGTGAAGGTGATGGAGAGATTTGGAAATGTCTAATGATGATTTTGAACAATACGATTGATGTACTTAATGGCAGTGAGTTGTATACTACAAAAATGTTTAAATGGCATATGTTTTGTTATACATATTTGTATCACAATTGAAAATACAACGATGAAAAACTCAGTGTGAAGTTTAAGAAAGCACTAAGTATTATTATATTTTGGGAAGAAAAAATAAATGGAAAAAATACAAAATTACTCATTAATAGTGGGGGTGAGGAAGCCTGTAAGGGGGAGGGGCGAAGAATGGAACAGTAATGTTATACTGACTTTCAAATGGAAAATGTAATGCTAACATAAACAAATAGACAAGGAGAGGGTTTCTCTCACTGGTCATACCTTATTCATCACTGGTCATACCTTTCCCAGAATGTGAAAAAAAAGGAGGTGGGGTGGGGTGGGGAATTTATGAAATTTAAGAAAATATGTTAAAATGAATAAAACATGAAAATCCTTCAACAGGGGTCAGCAAACCATGGCCACCATGCCAAATCAAGTCCTTCATCTGTCTTTGTAAGATCTGTGAGCTCCAAATGGATTTTACATGTTTCAATGGTTAAGAAAAATTAGGGAAAAAATGCTGACTTCTGTCCTAGATAAAACAACAAATCTGATTATTTCTGTCACTTAGACTTTCCTGATGTGGCTGGACTGCATGTGCTGGATTGCAAAGTCAGTTTAAATTGAAAAGTCAGAGGGGGTTAAGCTCACCAGCCACTCCTTGGAAACCCTATATAGGGTTGCTATGGGTCGGAATCGACTCGACTGCACTTAACGACAACAACAATACATTTTCTAAAACCCTTGTGTGTACCTTCATTAAGAGAATTCATAAGCATTCTCTAGCCTCAGTTTAAAAAATCACCTCCTCGGAGAGTCCCCCACCCTACCCAAATCCTCAAACATTCTTAGGTTACCTTACCATATACTTTCATAGAATCGTGTACCTTTTCTTCATATAATTTGTTATGATTATAATGATGAGGTTATTTGTTTTAATCCAGACTCTCTCACTAGATTAGAAGCTCCATGAGGTACAGGACTGTTAACATTTGCTTGTATGAACAGTTGAACAAAATGCTTACCACAAAGTATACAGCAAATAAATATTTATGAATAAATAAATGGATGAAATATATATAGATAGATAGATAGATACATTGCCCTATTCCTTTGTGTAGCCAACCTCTAAAAATAATAGTTGTACGACAAAATCTTAAACTACCTCATTTAATATGGAATAGACATTGAGATCTATTCTCATTTGACATTCCCAAATATTAACTCATTGTAGGGCTGGAAGAAGCACTGATTAATAGTACCACTGAATCAGCAGATTTTCTCCTTTCTGTGTTTTAAGTGATTTTGCATTTCTCACCAGTGAGAGATATGAAAATTTTTCTTCATTCCCAGATAGGTCTGGAGAGCTGGACTTGCAACATTTGGACTGCTTTTCTCAGTCAAAAGGAACAAGGAACTGTTTGTTGCCAGTTCTTTTTGTGCTTTTCAATGTGGACTCATGCTTATAATCTGTCTAGGAAAATTAGGTATAAGGTTGGCCATTTCACAAAATTAACATTCTTACCATCTTTCCGAACCAGCAAATGCAATTTTCTTTGATCTCTCATTCTCCACTGGATGCTGTAAGTCCCTATTAAAAAATGCTACACTATTTCTCTTAAGACATAAAACAATAATATCTTCATTTTGCTTGGCTCCACTATCCAACACTCATGAAAACAGCAGTCAAGAAATAAGACAATGTACTGCATTAGGTAAATCTGCCGTACAAGACCTTTTCAAAGTGTTTAAGAGTCAAGA